CTGCACATCAGTGCCTCTGGCCAGCAGATCAGTGGTCATTGATACTCTGCTAGATCCAGAATGGAACTCCCTCATGATCACATCTCATTCCTTTGGGTCCATATCTCTGTGCACAGTAGAAATGGTGAAATCCCAGGCATGCATCTTCTCAGCGAGCCAATGGACCATCCTTCAGGTGTCAATGAAGAGGATGCCTGGGCGATGGTCGGGGCTTCTTACAAGTCACACAGTGTGTCCAGCCTCCACTCCTCTCATTCCACATAGATGTAGAATTGGCGATGCCCTCCAGGATCGACTCTTCCTTCCTGACAAGAATCTGAATGGGGTCCCCTTGAGCTTCTTGGTCACCTCAAGCACATCAGAAGGCATTGTAGCTGACAGCAACACCACCTGGATGCTGCTGTTGAGCTTTTGTAATATCTCATAGATCTGGTCCTTGAATCCAAGGCTTAACATTTCATCAGCTTCATCCATTACAAACATCTTGATGTATTTGGGAGACAGGCATCTTGGGCTAAGCATACCAAACACATGGCCAGGGGTACCCATGATGATATGGCGAGCTTCCATCTGCAGATTCTGCACTTCAGCATACACATTGGTGCCCCCAGCGCAGGCATGACAGGAACGCCCATGTAATCTCCTAATGCCATGATCAACGTCTGTATCTACTGAGCCAATTCTCGAGTGGGTGCCAGGACCAAGGCCTGGGTGGCCTTTAGATCCAGTTCAATCTGCTGCAGAATTGGTACGACAAATGTGGCTGTTTTTCTAGTCGCAGATTGGGCTTGAGTAACCCTTGATACAAGGAAGAATGGCTTGCTGCTGGATGGCAGAGGGCTTCTCAAAACCACAGGCATGGATGCTATGGATGAGGGGCTCTGTGAGGCTCATGTCACCAAAGCTGTCAGCAGTCTCATTCCAGTCATTCTCAATGACGCCTTCAGGCTTCATTCCATGGGGCCATTGTCTCTGGTTCAGGAATCTTGACTTGCAGACATGATCCTTAGAAACTAGCCAATCTGAACTTCTAAGAGTGACACTTGAGGCCTTTCATAACCTGGCACTGGCGTATTTCTTCCCACCCAGATGGCCCAGCATCCCTGTCTCACACGTGCCCAGGCTTCCTTACGCCCAGCTCTGCATGTGCTGTTCTCTCTGTCTGGAGCCTTTCCCCATTCCTATCCTCTGCTGGGGTGTCCTTCCTCCAGGGAGCCTCTCCTGACCTCCTCCTTGCTCCCCATATGCTTTGCACATCTTTCCATGTTCATGAAATCAAGGCTGCTGCTGGCGCCTACCATCCCTTCGGGCAAATAGAAAAAGGCACCCCTTCCTCAAAATGCTTTCTTCCATCTGCTGGAAAACTCTTGTAATAGATGTGCCAACCTGTAACATCTACAGTGTGAAGGGTGTCCACCCTGGAGGAGCACCGATGAAGCCAGAGATGCCAACTTGGGAGCACTTCCATGTGCCAGGCACTGTGCTAGATGCCTTGTCTCAAATTCTGTTCACAAAGCCCATGTGGGAAACTGTCTGCTTCTCAGCTGAGGAAAGTGAGTCTCAAAGGCTAAGTTCAAAGGATGTCACCAGTAGGTGGCAGAGCCAGGGTTTGAACTCCAGAGCACCAATGGTTGATCAGCAGGCAAATTCATCTCCATGGAGTCATTGTCATCCAGGCTGCTGCTTCCACATTTGTTCTAGACCTTGGGTGAGCTCCTTGAGGCAGGGACCACATTTCACACAGTGCTAAAGCTCTGGAACCATGTCGAGAAGGCACAGAGTGGGCAGCACCAAGTGTGTGTGGGCGGAAGAAACCTTTTTCAGGACATTGGGTCCTGGGGCCTGTTCCCCTGAGTTGTAGCTGAAGCTAGAGATGTTTGGACCAAGAAGTACCAAAGCCCCTGCTAGGCCTTAGGGTCTGCCCTTGCCCCTAAGTCAGAGAAACCTTCTCTTAGTGTCTGATGATTCCTTCAGTCCCTGAATCCAGAGTTTTCTGAGTCCAGAGTTGCACTCTCTGCTGAAGTGGAACAAGGTTTATAAAGGGCCTGCTTGCGTGAGGGTCGGGGAAGACAAGAGGGGCCTATCATGGCAGATCATAAGAGTTTTCCAGGTGGACCCACAGCAAGGTGAAGGATGTTCCTGGCAGAGATATGGCCAGAGGCTAGGACTTGGTGAGGGGGCAGTGTCAGACAGACACCTTCTTGGCATGGGAATCAGAAGACACCTGTCTTTGGATAGACGACTTTGAGTCTAGTAAAATTCTTTAACTGTTTAATGCCAGACACCTAATTATGCCTTTGCATGACTTTAATTATTGTCTTTTCCAGCAGTCTACTGGTAAAAAGTGGGGCAGTATACAAACTGCCCCTTTCCAAGTCCAGAGTGTCATATGACCTGCTAAACAACCATCGCAATTTCTATTGCCCAAACAGGTTAACCATTGTCTTCATGAAAAATAAGATAAAGAGGAGCTGATAGCACTGTCTTGATCCTTCACTTCACATTCTTTTGGAGGAAGGTCTGGGAGTCAGCCTAGCCTGTGGCATGCGACCTTCATTATTTGAATGGCACTATGCACAGCACTTATGAGCAGACTCTGAAGCTATGCTGTCTGGGATACAATCCTAAAGGCCACTTTCTAGCCACGTGACCCTGATGTCACCTAACCTTCCCAAGTTTCAGTTCCCTCACCTGGAAAATGGTACCTATCTCATAAGTTAACTTATGAGCAGACTCTGAAGCTATGCTGTCTGGGATACAATCCTAAAGGCCACTTTCTAGCCATGTGACCCTGATGTCACCTAACCTTCCCAAGTTTCAGTTCCCTCACCTGGAAAATGGTACCTATCTCATAAGTTAATATAAAAGTAAAGCCCTTAAACAGTGACTGGCTCATAGTAGACCATGTTAGCTATTAGTTTTATTACTTGTCCAGGTATGTCAAAGAAGCTCTGAAGAGGTAACAGGAAAAGTCCCGTCTCTGCCAGTTTTAAGGGAAGTTTCATTTGAAAGTGTTAAAGGAAATTGGGGGGAGGGATTGGTCCTCATCTGAGTCAGAGCTGTCCTCCCTTGTGGAGAGGGAAGGTCAATGGTGAAGCCACTCATTCACAGGGGGAGGTGATATCCTGAGTTAAGCACCTGCTTACCTGATCCGCTCTGCCCAGGGTGTGTTGTTTTCCCCTAGTCCCACTGGTCCTTCCTCTTTGTTTACGTGCCTTGCTCCCTGTTTCAATGTTTCCCCATGAGTTCCATGAGGATAAAGGCTCTATCTGCCTTGTTCACCTATATCACCAAATTGCAGACATGATGCTCAGCAAATGTTGCTGAATTGCATGAAATGGAACGATTTGGAAAATGAGTGGGGCTGAGGGGGCCACAGTCTGTGCTGTTGAACCCAGTCAATCAAGTGGTGGAGAAGGGTTGTAGGCCTTTGAGAGGGGCAGCGCGGGAGCTGATGACTCTTGGTCCCCATCCTCATGGCAACAGCCACAGCTCCTCCTGGGCATCCGCTTCATCCTCAAACGTGGATGGCTTTCAATGACTAACATACAACTTGCACATTTTAAAGATGTTTTATTTAAAAAAGAAAAACCAACCAACCAAAAAGCCCAACCCAAGAACTCTTGGTTCCGGGAGTCTGGGAGCAGCTTAGGTCTACGGGGAGAGTAGAACCTGGAAGACAGCACGGGGCCCCCTGAACCCCTGGGAAGAACAGTGGCCTTTCCCCAGGGCTCAGCCCCTCTCTGAGACCTGGGCTCATCCTCATGGTAAAAGACAGGTGGGGGGGGGGGCTCAGCCCCTGGAAAAAGGCAGGGAGGGCAGTTCTGGACGGCCCTAAGACCTCTTGTCCAAGTCAACAATCAGTTGGGAAGGAGGGGAAGGTGGCCCGGGGCTCGATCGGGCCTATCACAGCCATCCCCAAAGGCGGGGGTCTGCCTACGCTAGGGAGGAGGGCTCAGATAGGGAGACGCACCCCCAAGTTCGGTGAGGGGGTCAAGCCCCTCTGGAAGAAAGGGCCCTGATGGGGCGGGAGCTGGATGCGGCCCCAGGCTGGACTCCTGGGAGGGCAGGGCAGGAGGACTCAAACTCCGAGAAGGCGGGCGGAACTCAGGGACCCTGGGGGCCGCGGGGCAGCACTCGGAAGGGCCGAGGCGGGGGATTCGCCCCCGCGCCAGCGCTGCGGGGATGGCGGCCAGGCGGGAGCCGGCGGCGCGCGCGTTGAGCTTGGCGTAGAGCACGTCGTCCAGGTCCCAGGCCAGCAGGCGCCGCAGCAGCACCAGCGACTCGTCGAAGTACTCGGCGATCATGACCAGCGAGAAGACCTCCTCCACCTGGCGGATGAGGCCCGCCAGGTAGGCGGCGTCGTCGCGCGGGCTGCGCTCGTTGTCGCCGCCCAGGTCGTAGGCCAGCGTGTTGTGCGCGAACATGGCGAAGTGCTCGCCCGCGCGGTAGTAGGCCTCGGGCGCGCGCAGGAAGGCCTCGAGCGATGCGTTGGGCACGCGCCGGAAGGCCGGGCAGTACTGGTTGTAGTAGCTGAAGAGAGACTCGAACATGGCGGCCGGCTCGCGCAGGATGGTGACGTAGACGGTGCCGGGCGGCATGAGGCGCTGGAGCTCCGCGCGGTCGAAGCGCAGGTGGCTGGCCAGCACGTGCGGCGGCCGCGTGGCCGGGTGCACGAAGTGCGCAGAGAAGTTGCGCGGGTAGCAGAACTGGTGCTCACAGCTCGGGTGCGGCAGGGCCACCGTCAGGTTGTGACGCTCGGCAAAGCGGAACAGGATGTTCTGCACCGTCGTGCCCGCCGTCTTGTGCGTCTTCAGGAAGGCCACGGTCATGTGCTTGGGACGCGATGGTGGGTCCCGCAGGGGTGGGCAGCTCAGGGGGAACAGCTTGGGGTACCTGCAGAGTGTGTGGGGGGGAGACACAGAAAGGTGAGAAGGATGCAGCTTGAGGCCTACCCCTCCCCAACGATGGTGGGCCACGCCACAGAGAGACCCATCCTGAGCTTTGCCCATGGAACAGTAGAGGGGGGTGGTAGGCAGCTTCCAAGATGACCCACATGTGTCCTCTTGGCCTCGTGGTATTCGTGCCCTTGTGTATTCCCTTCCCCTTGAGTATGGCTGGACTTAGTGATGGTTCTAAGGAATAGAAGAGGGCAAAGTGATGGGATGTCACTTCTGAGATTACATCATAAAAAGACTATGGCTTCTACCTTGGTGTTTTTCTCTTACTCTCTCCTGGATAACTCATGTTGGGGGAAGCAAGCTGCCGTATTGTTGGCAGCCCTATAGGGAGGTACCACGTGTCAACAGCCCCCAAGGAACTGAGGCCCTGAGTTCACCAGCCTGTCTGAACTGAAGCTTGCCAAAACCAGTGAGCTTGGAAGCAGACCCCTTTCAATCAAACCTTCAGATGAGACTGCATCCCTAGCAGACACCTTGGTTGCAACCCCATGAAAGACCTTGATCCAGAGGTACCCACCCACTAAGCTGCACTTGGATTCCTGACCCAAAGAAACTGTGATATAATATATGTTTGGTGTTTTCAGCTGCTAAGTTTTAAGGTAATTTGTTTATACAGAAATAGATACTATACTGGACAAAGGCCCTTGGAGGTCCTTAAGGAATCCCACTTTACAGATGTAGAAACTGAGGACTAGGAGAAAGGTCACTTACATAAAGTCAGGAGGCAACTCAGTCACCAAATCCTCTTGCTCTCTGTCTTCTTTCTCATTTTTACTCTTTAACTGACTCCTCGATTTGTAGATGGTGGCACTGTGCTTTGTGACAACCCATTTGTTACATGTTTCTGATTAGGCCTCTGGAGCCTCATTTGTTCACTCAACAAATACTTTTTGAGCATCTACTATGTGCCAAGCACTACTGTAGGCTCAAGAAATATAATAACACACAAAACAGATAATAATCTTAGCCCTCGTGAAGCTGTCATTTCTGTTCCTCATTCCTGAAACAAGGGTGTTTGGTGGGATTTCTGGTGACCTGTAAGGTCCCTTCAGACGTTAGTTTACCTTCCTGTTTCTTCTCTACCATTCTAAGTATCATGTAATGAGGAAAATCTAAGCAGCTTTGAGAACACCATTGAACTTTCCTATCTGGCTGATTTGGGCTCAAGACAAAACCTATGCAGACATCACTTATAAAACCAGCATATCATCTGGGAAGGGGGACTGGACCCATTCACACCATTCTCAGGGTCAGACAGTGTCGAAAATGGGGAAGTTGAGGCCCTGAGAGGAGCAGGAACTTGTTGGGTTCACACCGTCAGGAGCAGGGTCAGGGTTCCTGTTAGTCATCACATGGTATCTTGTATCAGCATGACTAGCAGGGTCACATGTATCATCACTCCCATTTTATAGACGAGGAAACCAGGGCTCAGAGAAGTGAGGGGCCTTGCCCATCACAACAGAAGTAGTGAGAAGTTGCAGTCCATTGAGGAGGCATTTAGCTGTGATGTGATGGGAAAGATTTGAGCCAGATTCAAATCCCTGCTAGCTCTAATTCTAAGACTTTGAGCAAGTCACTTAACCCTTTCAGTGAAGACCAGTCCTTTGTTATGAGGCTCTAAACGGAATGTATGCAAAGCACTTTCAGGATAGAGGGAAGGAGCAAAGCCCAGTAGAAGGATTCTTCTGGGAGTGAACGAATGGGAAGGAGAGCTCCCAGTCCTGTTGCTAACCCTGGCAACTGGCCACTAGGAACGTGCTGCCCCTGGGTCCCACCCTCTCACCGAGGCCCCGCCCCCTTACCAGCTGAGCTGCGTCCCCTGGTGGATGAGGAGGGTTACGGTGCTGCACCCTAGCACCAGCAGCAGGATTTTCCTGCGGCTCATCTTGGTGGCCTGCTGCAGGCGCTGGAGAATGGGTGGCATGGTGGAATGTCCACCCCTGGGCCAGCCAGGGCCTCGCTATCCAGGACTTCCTTCGTCCGCACTCATGGGGGCTCCTGGGGCTCTGGTAGCAGGGCCAGTGTTCCTGAGAAGCCTGGCAGGAGAAGGAGGCAGACAAGTTTGCAGTGGGCAGAGGAGATGGGCTCTGGGCCCCAGCAGGACGGCTGCAAAGGAGAGCTCCAAAGGGTGGGGTGAGCAGAGAGGCCAGGGCAGATCAGATTCCTACCTCCCGTAACCAAGACCCTATCTCCTCACTGCTCCAGATAACCTACTCTTGGGTGGAATTACAGGGTCTGGGGTGTGGCCAGCCCTTCAGGCTGTAGCCACTCCCTCCCTTTAGCCCTGTCTCTGCCTCTCTACCTACCTCTAACTTGTCTTTGTCTCATGGCCATTTGTGTCTGTCTCCCCAGTAGATTGGCCTCAGCAGCAGGGCTTGGCTCAGAACACAGAAGTCTGCTCAAGGTTTCTCCTCCTCCAGGACTACTTGCCTGATTGCTTCAGCTAAGGATTGGTCCTGACTTCCCAGAGACTGAGCTCCTCAAAAACACTGACCAGGCCTTCACCTCCTCGAGTCTTGGATCAGTACTGCAGGCTTACTGTATGTGCTAAACTATCACATACTTATGTAGGTTATTTTTGGCAGCTGGCCAGTATGGGAATCCCAACCAGTAACCTTGGTGTTATCACCACCACACCTAATATAGGTATTATTCCCACTTTATAAATGAAGAAATTGAGGCTGTAAGAGATGATGTCACTTGTCCATGGTCACACGGCTGGTAACACCAGAACTGGGATTCATACCTGCTCTTTCTGGCTCCAAAGTTCATGGCCTTATACATGTTATGTGCTGTTATTACAGCACACTGATTTCCCCATCCCTGCCCCGGACTCTGGCAATTTTGTATGCTTCTGAGCCCTGAGCCCCTGTAGCTGGGCTCCTGCCTTGAGGGCCCAAGACTGATAAACCCGTGAGGGAAAGGAGGGACTTGAAATCCTGGAACTTTATCTGGATCCATCCCCCACCCCCACCTGAAACCCAGGCAACCCCATCAGCTGACTCGGTGTTGCTCCCGCGCCTCGCTCAGCCAGTGAGCGGGAACCGGTCTGTATGTGGGATCCGAACCCTCGGGCGGGAGCGCCGCCGCGCTTCCCAAGCAGCGCACTATCCAGTGCGCCACCGGGCCGGCCCGTTATGTGCTGTTATTACAGCACACTGATTTCCCCATCCCTGCCCCGGACTCTGGCAATTTTGTATGCTTCTGAGCCCTGAGCCCCTGTAGCTGGGCTCCTGCCTTGAGGGCCCAAGACTGATAAACCCGTGAGGGAAAGGAGGGACTTGAAATCCTGGAACTTTATCTGGATCCATCCCCCACCCCCACCTGAAACCCAGGCAACCCCATCAGCTGATTCTGCAGTGAGAGTTGCCCAGCCAAGGGGATGGCAGCCTGGGAGGGGACAGAGATGTGGGGAGTACAGAGGTGGCCCCTGCTTGTCACCCTGCCGAGAATCTCCAGGAGAAGGTGAGCATCCATCCCAGGTGATTTTTATTTTTTTGGTGGCTGTCTGGTATGAGGATCCAAACCATTGATCTTGGTGTTATCAGTACCATGCTCTAACCAAGTGAGCTAAACGGCCAGCCCAAGTGAGAAGCAGGGGTGAGAGGTGGGAGAAGGGCCTGGTTTCCGGCCAGTCTCCTTTCTCTACTTGAATGCCTTGGATCAAAGGCAGCCCAGCCTTTGTCAGCCCGCTGGAAAGTCAACTTTAGCAGGGATGCCTGATCCCAGGCTAGGGTGGAGTCCATCTCAGGAGCCTAAGTCTCCAGCCCTTATACAAACCCCTCTCCAAACGTGAGGTGGAGGCTGGAACCTTATAGGCATGTACATGTGTGTAGAACTACGACACCTGGGTCTCAGGAGGGGTGAGGTAATATGAAAACCCGTTTGACCATCACTTTCCCCTGGGGCCTTGGCCTTGACTTCCAATCCCTCTTCTTTATACCCCCCAACCCCCAATTAATCCTGGATTACATTGAAACCTGTTTGTGTGGAAAGATGTCCTGGTTAGGCCTACCATTCTTTCAAGACCCTATCACCTAGTTCCCTCCACCAGTCTGCAGACAGACTTAATCCACCTGGAGCCCAGGGGATGAAGAGTCCGGCCACAGAGGGCAACCAAAGGCGTAGCAGAAGAAGCCTGAGGCCCTCCCTGTCTCTCCAAGGATTGCTGGGGCAGAGGAGGGCTGACTTGGCCTGGGTGGGGTGGCCCACAGGAGGAAGTCAGAGCCCTTGGCCCTCTTGAAAGCACACCTCTTCCCTTTGTCACCCTTCCTACCTAGAGGACTTGGTGATCAGATAGGAGTTTCCCAAGGGGGTAAAGTGAGAGGCAAGTCCCTTCCCACCTTTGCTAAACTCACTGAAGCCACCCTATTTCTCAGAGGAGTCTGAGTCGACCTGTGGGCCTTTCCCTGGGGAAACTTCAACCAACCACACAGAGAGGGAGACAAGGTGCCCGGTACCCCTCTCCAGCCCACTCCCAGAACTTTCTCCACTCCCCTCTTAGCTCTGGGGAGCCAGCCAGATCCCAGTCTGAGGCCTGCTTGGGGACAGGGCATCATCAGTGCAGGGATTCCCTGGCTACCAGCCCCCAAAGGTGGACACCAGCTTCTGTTTGGGCTGTTCATCACCTCTAGATACAGCCAGGTCCACTTCTGAGCAGCCTCAGCTGTTCAGGAGTAACTCTCTGGGACAATTAGTTCACCCTGCCACTGACAGCACCTCCTCAGCTCGCCCCCTTCCACATCCATTCTGCGCTGTTGCTAGTACAGCCCTCCTAGGGCACACAGAACATTTTTCTCCATGACAGACCTTCAGGTATTTGAAAGCAGTAACCCTGCCTCCTCTGGGTGGGCACTTGGCCAGGCAGAACATTCCAGGTCAGGAGAGAGGGTGCTGCTCAGACATTGGAGGAGGCCTTCCTTCCCTTGGCGAGCTCACTCCAAGATGCCTCTTTTGGAGATGGAATCAAGGCAGTGGCAACCGGGGAGGGGGCTGCCTGGGGCAGGGTTTCCCTCTGATCTGCAGCATGGGTGGCGGGGCTGCTGGGGCTAGGCTTTAGAGCAGTGGCCCTGGCTCCTGCCCTCAGATGGTGTCTTCTCCATGGAGAGAGAGAGGTTCCTGCCACTGTCCCAGGCAGATCAGGATGCCCAACCACATCAGAATATCAGTGCTAATTTTAGTCAGAACAGTCTACCTCAGGCTGCTGCCCAGTTTTGCAAATTGCTTTCTTTTCTCCAGGGAACCAAAGAAAAAATGGTATAGCCGGCCAGAGATTTGAAAACTGGCCTGGATGCCCACCCACTCCCAAATGAGCCCTTTCTTCCCTGTCCCCTCTGAGCGCCAGGGCTGACACTGATGCACTTGGAGGAGGGGGTGCCCTGGACTGGACCACTCGGACCTGACCGCTGGATGACCTGGAGACTCCATCCTCTCTTCAGGGATGGCACAGCCCTGTGAGGAGGGAAACTGACCTAGGGCACTAGAGAGGAAGGGACCGTAGGCTGAGGGAATCAAACATCTCTTCACCTCCCCCCTTTTATGTCTTTTCCCCCCAGCCTGCACCAGGTCCCCCCAGCCTCCTCTCACTGTCATCCACCCCCGCGTCATCCCTGCCGCCGAATTCCCTTCATCCTCCCCTCTCCATCACCATCTACCCCCACCCCACCCCCCTTCCCTCAATTTCATCCTAACCTCCCCCTAGCATCAGGCCTTCAGAATCTGGTCACCACAGGGGATAGGCCAGATTGGCTGTCGCACCCGGCCCTCTCCCGCTCCCCAGGGGTGGAACGCCGCCCCCCTCACCCGCACTGTCTGGGCTCTAGGCCCCCAAGACACTATCCGTCCCTGCTTCGGCCCCCATCCCGGTCAGGACCACCCTCACTCCCCCAGCCCCAGGCCAGCCACTGCAGTACTCACGCCACCCGCAGGCTCTGCCTCCGACTTGGGTATGGGGTGGCCGCCACTACCTCCTGCCCCTTGTCCCGAAATCCGCACCGGGTCCGAGGACGCCTGGGGCCCTGCGCGCTCAGTGCTGGTCGCTCGCCGCGCCGCGCCTGGATGGGATCAGGTGGCGGCGTCCGCTCTGCTCCGCTCCTCTGGGCTCTGCCCACCCCCCCTCCCGCCCCCCATAGCACTGGAGG